CTCTGGTACCACCTTTCCCATGTTCTCCTCATTTGCAGGGGTACTCAATATTGGAACACATTCTTGTGTTGTGCATGTTCTTATTCAGAAGAACTACTGCTCAGGCTGGTTCATGGCCTGAGAACTTTCGAATCATGGACTAAAGTGATTCTTGTCATCTTGATAAAACATGTACACAATCACACTCCAATACAACTACAACAAAAATAACAAATTGTCAGGGCCTGTAAGCACAAGCCTTGATTTAAACCATGGGGTCCAGTGGGCACATATTGGATGTGAAGTGCCTTAAATAATGGCTCTGCTAGCCTAAAACATATCAGATGTTCCTTTAGCCTTAGCTTGCCCAAGACATAAACTATGTGTTCAGGGGAAAGCAAAGTCAAATGACTCATGACAGAGTTTGTTTTTAGAATGAATTATTTTTTCTGGCTCCTTGCTTTTACAGACGGATCCTTTTCAGATGGCTAGAGCAAGGACTGCTGGGAGCTGGGCTCACTTGCCTGGCCTTCCCCCCCTTCTGAGAGCTGTTATGTAGATGGCCTGGAAGAGAGTTTCTTTCCCATTATGATAACTTCATCATGCATGCTCCCTTTTCCTTCCAAAACTGTACAATGGCAGCCTTGTGGAAGCCTGGTAACATAGTGGAAAGAGCACTAGATTTGGAATTCATAAGACTGGGGTTCTAGTTCTAACTCTGCCATTTACTAGTTTTGTGATGCTGGGAATGTCATGTGACTTCTCAGGGCTGCAGTCTCCTTCAGTATGAAGTGGGAAGAAAAGCATTGCATTGGATTGTGCTGGGGATTCACAGAGGTGACATAAGCCAAGTGAATATTACACAGCCAGCACCCTGTAAATGGTTGGCCAAGTTCCTCAGGACAGGGATAGTGGCCTAATTACTTCAGCACCCCACTACCTGCTTTAGACTGGGCAGGAAATAGAAGAAAGGCAGCCACAAGGGCAGCAATGTCACAAATGACTAACTTTCTTTGCCTTTGTCAAGTGCCAGTCACTGTTCTAACTGCTTTCCATGGATTGTCACATTGATTCTTTCAGATCTGTGGTAGAATCAAAAGTTAATTACATGTCACAGTTGAAGGAATGGAGATACAGAGAGGTTAAGAAACCTGGCCAAGGTCACACAGGTGATTAGTGGAGGAGCTGGCACCTGTAATGCCTGTAACACAGTTGTAGCGCTAGAAGGGTCAAGGGAAAATGGGCAGAATAGGATAGAAGTAAAGGTTACATCAAGAATGGGTGGCTTCTCAGATCACCTCAAGACTGACTCAAGGGGAAGGAGGAGGTCATAGGAGTGTGGCCGCACATAGTTCTGAAGGAACACAGGTGGTAGACAGGCAGAACCCTTCCAAGAGCATAGCAGATCAGTATACCTTCTTAAAGTGCTCTGGAGTGAGGACCACAGGCTAGGGCTACCATCCAGGGAGGAAGAGAATTCCAGAGTTGGCAGGGACCTAGACTGCCTGGCACAGCTCTACTGTACAGGCTGGAGAACTGCTACTTGATCAATGTCACACTATAAGTTACTGGTAGAGCAAAGACTAGAACCCAAGTCCCACCTTTCCCAGCCAGCTTTCTGCCTCTGTCATCTAGACAACACTATGGCCTTTCCCTCTCCTGGTCTCTCTCTCTTCCATGTACCACCTTGATACTGTGACTTATTTTCATTCACTTGTTTACCCTGTAGTTCATATCCAAGCAATGTTGAGGAAAAATGGAAACACTGGCCATTGCAATTTGGGTATGTCTAATTCCATTGGGAGAGTCATCCCTAGAATAAGATGAACACTTGGCCTGCTCTCCCAATATGCTACTGCATGATCTATTTGGCAAGGAACTCTGTGGGAGTTTACAGGGAAAAGGTTTGGAAGTGATTTCTCAGGGCAAATTAATGTATATCTCCATCTCATGAGCTGTTTCTGCACATGAGAAAAATCATGTGTGGAGAAAAACCATTCATTCATTTACATTTTTATCTGATCCATAAGTAAGGTCATTTGAATTCCCAAGATTTACTATTCTGCACCCGCCTGCCTTCCACTTCAGCCCCCCAACACATGTGCACACAGGTGTATGCAGGCACATGCACACACTCACCTTTGCTTATTTATACTTTATTTATAGTTATTTATACTTCCAAGACCTCAGTCAACTATCATTTTCTTTGCAATATTTTTTTCTTAGTCTTCAAGGCTGGAAACACAGCACACTATTATAGTTACATATTTTATGGCACTTCTCTGTGATAGTAGAAGAATCATTAGAATAACGATCAAGTTCTTCCTGTATAAGATTAAGTCTGTGAACAGAGAGATGGGCCTAGCATAGATAGCACTGGAGACATCTGTTGAATAAATGAATGCAAGAAAGCAAAAGCTCTGTCCCCAGTCAGCTTCCAGTGTAGTGGATAGGCAGACACACAAAGCAGAGTCACCATACCTATGAGAAGAATGATCTCCAAGGTCTGTCTGTGCTCTGAGGAACTGAAAATGTGTAACTCAGCTGGGACTTCACTCTGCCTTTTGCTTGTCTTATTCTGTCTTTAGAGATGTTTTTGTTGAAGACACACAGGGTGTAACCTTTGTCAGGACAATTCTCTCTTCTGTACTCTTCCCCAGTGCTTCCCATTGGATGATATTGTAGGAGGTTGGCATTCAAAACCGTGTATTTACCTTTAGTGAAATTAGGGCCTGAGACAGAAGAAAACAGAGTGCTGGGGAGTTGAAAAGGGAGAAAACATCTGTATCACAGAATTCCCCTTACTCAGCACACTCCAGACTCCCTAGTCTTTTTTGCATTTCCCCAGACATGTTTAATTCACTCACACCTGCCAGGAACTTTGCACTTGCCATCTTCCCTGCCATTTTTGGAAGCATCCTTCCTCTTAAGGATCTCTTTTACTGCTCACATGACCAGTTCTTCATATCCAGTCTTCTACTCCATCTTTGTTCTTTTACATTGCTTTTCTTTCTTTCCCAACAGTTCTTTCTACTTGATATCCACAGTATTTGCTAGTATTGCTTGTTTCTTGGTCTCTTTCCAACTTTAATATAAGCCCCACGAAGGCAGGTACTGCTACATCAATAGATGTAGTTAAAGAAATTCAGAGAGATGGGGACAGGTATTAGAAGTAAAGTAGATGACTCCCAAACAGTTCAAGAAAGAACTAATAATATTAATTCTTATATTGCACTGTATCAATGGTAATCTCATATAATGAGATTTGCTTTGTATGCTTAGCATACAAAGTATCAGCAAAAGTTGCCTATGATCATTGTCATCATCTGGACACAGATACAACAGATATGTAATACCTGTCTATGAGAATTATATACATTACTGTATACTATATTTACTTATTATGGATGAAGCTTAGAATTTCTATGATATACAAAGTTAAACATGTAGCCCCTATTCCGGATTTTATGCAGTATGAAAAGTTTTTATGAAAACTGTTTATCAGTGTTTACATAATCAGAGGGCTTCAATGTGTTTGTAATAGACATTTATGACTTTTCAAATCAAGCATTTAAAAATTTTAAGACATGTAAACAGGGAAAACTATGTAAGAACTAAGAAACTAGAAGAAATGGTGACACATCAGTGAGCAATCAAAGTGTGAAATAAAATTCTATAAGGATAATTATGGACAGAGAACATTGAATAAAGAAAAGAGAAGAATGGCTGATGTGAGAAGCAAGAAATGACTATAAGACAGCAAGTCAAGCATCATATGCAATTTTCTCCAGTTTCTATGGGAAATGCCTATAAAAGGCAAGAACAGCAAGCAAGCTGTTACAAATAAAAGTGACAATTAAACAAAGCAGGCAAATACAATGACATTTTATTAATAATTCTAAATATCTGCTAGTGTAATATGTGTGATCTACATCTGGCTGGTTCTTTATGGCAGGATTTACCTCCATTCTTGGTCTCTTGGTCTCCAGATCAGAAGCCAGCTACCCAGAACCAGCACTCTATCTTACCAGGCTCCATTTGCCCTCTCTCTTTCCTTCAGCCCAATCACACACACTGTGTCATTCCTTCAGGCCAAAGGGATTGCTTTTGAAAAAGAGAGCATTTTAGTATCCCATGCAATATCCCCAAAGAGCCCCTAGGTGTCACTATTGAAAAACCAAAGGAAGCTTCAATGTCAGAAAGAAAAAAAAAAAAAGTAACATTTAGTACAAAACATTAAGAGCAATAACAGTGCAAAATGCAGACATTATTTATTACAGAAGCTACAAACAATTTAGCATCTCTAAGATAATTATTAATTTCCTTTCTAATTCAAGGGCTCAACAAGAAAAAGAGACATCTCATTTTTCAGCTAGAAAAATATCTCTGTATTGTTCTTTCTCTCTAAAACTTTTACATTTAGGGGTTCAGATGCAACTCACACAATGCTCAAAGTTTGTAGTATAAATTGTTTTATAATTGAGATTGGATTCACAACACAAAAGAACTAGCTTTCAGAGTAAAAATATAAGTCAGTTGAGGATTGGTGAGGAGGAAAAATGTAGCTAATGTTAGTTTGATATTCAACTCAAAGCCATAATCGTATTATTAAATGTATTTAAACATGTTTTTCATTTAGATTTGGCAGCTTGATTAATGGGAATGTATTAAATAATACCTGGCTGCTAAGAGTATATTTAGGAATCAGTGCCACATAAAACATACAACATGCACAATCCAGCTTCATTATTATTTAAGGCTTCTCTGTTCTCTTGGCTGTGGGCACATACATATTAAAAATTAAGTACACACGCTCAATGTATGCTTAGTCCTTTTAAAAGGCTTTCTCTTTAAACAGAAACATGCAATGGAAAATGAACTCAACTCTGGCGAAAGGTAATGGATTCATCCCTTTGGGGAAAGCTGTCTTGTTTATCAAAAGAAAGGAGGGGGGAGTATCAGAAGCAGGGAAAAACGATTCTCAAGTGATCAGCAAAGAGATGCCCAATTCAGAGAGGAGATGAAATTTGTTTCTATACCCGGCTTTCTTCCTTGCCATAGCTAAAAAATAAATGAATTCAGGTGCCTCTACCATGAGGCCATGAGGGAAGTGGAGGGGCAGGGAGTATCTTAAGATATGGGGGAATATATTAATGGCCAAAGGCAAGCAGATGCTAACTACAGTTTCTGGGTAGAATGCTAGGCCTGAATCAAAGATAGGAATTGTAGGAGATAGTTCCGAATAGTCTGGGAGTTTGATGATGATGATGATGATAAGAGACAGTGATACAGTATAATTCTACTCAGTGTTTTTGATGAAAAATAATGTATCTGATCATGTAGAACCTAGTCAATAAACTAGCATTCTCTCATTTCCAAGGTCATGAGGTTGGCTAATAATCTCAGGCTGGAACAAGACTCAGAGTGGCCTAAATGTCATATAACAACACTTTATGTTCCTAAACAACTCAGGGAAATAGGTATTATTAATTTTTAATTTAAAAAACTAGGTTTAAATTCAGAAAAATACAGAAAACACCACACCACTTAGAAGAAAAAGACAGCTTTTTAAATATAGGTATTGTTCTGTCCATTTACTCACAACAGAATTGAGTCTCAGAGAGGTTAACCACACTGCTCAAGATCATACAGTTAGTAAGTTATGGAGGTAGGACTGCAATACAAGACTGTATTACTCAAAAACCTACCTTTTAAACCTCCAACTCCTATGCTTCTCTATGGCTACTGAAGACTTGGGACAGAAGCTACAAGGAAAATTGGGGAGGGGCAGAGGAAGGATGCATAGCATTAAATACCATTTACCTCCCATGTCATCTATTTGTAGACTAGAAGAATCTGAGCTCTCAGATACTAAGTCCCATTGCTACTGTAATCTACAGCTGGGCTATCTTGTTCTCTCACTGGAATGAACAACTAAAACATTAGCTCACCAATATCTTCACAGTGATGATGGTTATAATGAGAGAACACAGAATACAATCAGGAAGGGAGGAATTCAGGCACGTGCTATTACATGGATGGACCTTGAGCACACTGTTACACTATGTGAAATAAAATAGTCAGAAAAAGGCAAACACTGGATGATTCCACTTATATGAGGTAACTAAAGCAGTTAAGTCCATAGACAGAAAGTAAGATGGTGGCTACCAGGGACTATAGTGATGGTTAACAATGCAAATGAACTCAATACCTCCAAACGAAACACTTAAAAATAGTTAAGTCTGTAAATTTGATATTGTGTGTACTTTACTAAAATGAAAACAAATAAAAGGATATAACCAGGAATACCTCCTCCTATGTTCATTTACTTTTTTTTTTTTTTTTGGCAGCACTGGGTTTTGTACTCAGAGCGTTATGCTTGCTAGGCAGATGCTCTTACTCTGCCAGCCCAAATTCCTTCCCCCACCACAATGGTCATTTACAATGTTCTCTTTTCTGACACAGTATGAAACATCATCTTCAAAATAGGTTTTGAGGTATAAGTCCTTTTGTGGTATTTCCTTGCTACTTCTCTAGAAGTCTAGAGGAAACAGGTGGGTATTTTTAATTGCATATTTTACATCTGCATGTTTTATATAAATTTGTATCCTGGTTTGATAAGCAATGAACTCATGAAAACAATTCCCTTCTCTGGGTCTCAACTTTCTTATCTGTAAAAGGAGGGCTTGAGTGGGATGTTCTCCTAGACTGTTCCAGTTCTGAGACTGATTCCCATTTTTTCAAATTCTAATACTATCTATTCTCTTGTGTATGTTTATATTGACCCTTTTCAGAATACTTTTTGAGCCCTTAGTCACTTCTAAATGTTGTAGATATTGTACTTTTCCTGTGGGGTGGATGGAGGGAGGAGGATGTAGTGTGAGGTAGGCAGAGAGGAAGCAAACAAGTGAAGGATATGCTGGAAGGACTCAGATGGGAGTCTGATGTCATGAGGTTTAGTCCTAGGTTCTGCCACCTGGATGTCACGTGAATCAAGAAGGAAGGAAACATTTACTAGGGTCTTCTATGCATGGGTACTTTCACACTTATTACTTATTATTTTACAAGCTTTGGTAATTCATGCACCATTTTTACAATTGTTTTCATATCTAGGTACTACCAATAGTACTTATAGGTAATGAAATGCTTTTCTAAATTATAAACTTTTTTTCTTGATTTGAATAAAAAATGCCCATGAAAATTTGTTATTGTTTCTCCCCCATCATATGGTGCCAAATACAGACTTGCTGCTCTTTCAATTTGTTAAATAGGCATATGAATTGATGGGAGGATTATTGGGAGTTTCCAAACTCATTTTATGAAACTACTCTTAATGCTTGATGGTCTTAACCATGGGTTTATGGCAGCATTTACCAACACTTGCTTCTTAGTAAGGATTAGCAAGATTCTAATTCTTTGGTCAAATAAACTTGGGAAACACTATATTCTGTTTGCTTGTCCACACAGGAGAGTCACAAAGCATATTTCCATATCAAAGTCTTAACAAAAGATACCTGGGTAACTTGAACATAGCATTGTCAAACATTCTTTTCAGGAGTATCTTTTAATATATCAAATTAAAAGATAAGAAATTCTGGGGTGTAAAGAACTTAGTTTCTAGGCAAATTTTTCTCCTGATAAGAATTGGGACCATGAATTGGGACAATTCTTTGTACTGGTTCTCTTTTTCCACCTAAACCACCCAGCTAAGGATCAGGGAGGCATACATACTGGTCTTCACAAAAAGACAGCATAGACAATGGAACCTTTTGAGGCAGCTGATAGACATGTGAATGAGCTAACCAGTCTAGAAACTGACCAAAAGTATTTTGATGATGTCGGTAAGCATCCTCATTTGTACCCCATGGAGCTTTCATGGTTTTACGTATATAGATCATTTTGATTGCTCCTCCCCCTTTTTCCTCCATCACCACCACCACCTGTAATATGATTGGCAGCCTGCCTGTGCAGACACATTGCCAATGTTCATCCTGGGTCATTTTATTTAATCCCCACATTACAAGGGAAGTGCTGGTGTCACTTCCAGTGTACACAGGGTAAACTGAAGTACAGAGAGGTCAAGTAAGACCCAAGTTTTATAAAATGGGTAAAGGACTCATTTGTAATAAGAATGTTACTTATTAGGAAGCTGAGGCTCTGTGCATTTAAATACCTTGCTCAGATGAAGCAGAGCAATCAGAAAACAGCCTTATCTATCTGATTCCAACGCCAGCTCTCTCATCAGACTGTCTCTTGTTAATAAAATTTTATAATTTGTGAGTTGTTTACTCTGTAGTTTACTAAGTACTTCCACAGCTTTCATTCTATTAAAACCTCTTGACAATGCTTACACAAATATCATGTATCCATTTTACAGATTATGAACATGACTCCGAGAAACTCACTATAGTAATACTGATAAAAATAATGATAAGTAACTTCCACTTTTGATGAGCGGACTTGCTCAAGGCAATAGAGCTTAGAAAAGGCAGATTTGGGTTTGGATTTAAGTCTTGTGATGCCAAGCTCAGGGTTTGTTATACCCTCAAAGATGGGTCTCTCCAACATGACCAACATTATGAGCACAGCTGTGGCAGAGCAGAGAGGTTTACAGCATCGCCTTGGCATTCTACTGGTGTGGCTTTTATAGTGACTCAACATCTGCTATTAATTAATTTCCTGTTGCCGTGGTGATGGTTTATTATTGGTGGGCTGATAAGATGGCCAATCAAAAATTATTACCTTCCTCCTTTTCTACTCTCCAGCAAAGGTTTTTTTTCCTCTTTTTTTTTTTTTTTTTTTGTTCTCTTACCTAATCTTACAGTGGACCTTCTCCATATAATATGATGTGTGTTTCTTAAACTGGGATCCTTGTTGGACCCCTGATGATCATTTTGGGAGTCCTGAGACTTTCTTTTTCTTCTGCTTAGAACAGACTAACTTTGGTTCAAATTTCGTCTATCACACTTAGTAACTCTTTGATCACAATTATGTTCCCTGGGTGTGGAATAACATAAGATGGCTTAACTGGCAGGATTATTTTGAGAATTTGATATAATCAACATGAAGATGATAGCATAGAATTCAGATTGTACTAAGTATGCAAGAAATGATAGCAGTTATAATTAAAATAATAGCAATGTTTATTAATTACAGAAATGAGATGAGACAGAGATTTGGAGTAAGGAGTTGAGGTCTTTTACTTTCATTCATCTATCAATCATTCTAATTAGTTCTACTGAACCTGTTCTTTAAAGCACTTAACCCAAGGTATAGTATATATTTAAAATTGTTGTTTCCATTGTCTCTTTGTAGACCTGATAATGATTGGGACCATGTATTGCTTTGCTTATCATTGTACCTAGGGGTGATTTACTGAATGAATGAATGAATGAATGAATGAATGAAAGATTAGCCAAGCAGCTTCTCCATGTCAGGCTGTGTTAGACCCTGGAGATACAGACAGAACTTAAGATTCTTATGTGTAAGGCAATGACATAAGGGGTCTGTGAAAAGGACAAAAATAAAAGCAACATGGTATTCATACCTAACTTCAAAAGAGTTTTCTGTAAATCCAAAGAGAAAAATGGAATGAAACTTTCAGTAATCTTTCAGCTTACAGGGTAGATGTGGGCAGTAGTATGGACATTTCAATGCTCTAAGAGCCAAGAAAGATTCAAACTAGTGGTGCTAAGCTTCTGAAGCAACTGTGAATTCTTTTGTAACATACAATTTAAGGAAAAAGAAAAAGAAAAAACAAAAGAAAGGAAGGAAGACATGAAAAAAGAGGCCTGTCTGAAGGCCAGTTCCTTGACTCCTCCCAGAACAGTCTGATCTCCTCTGCTAGTGAAGCAAGAGGTCAGATCCCCAGACAGAAAATCCATCTCCAGGGGTTGCTGGATAGAATTTCTAATTCGCCAGGGCCACGCACACTTCTTGTTTTCTGCAAGGAGGATGAGGCCCAGAGGCTTTAGTTTTCCTAGCTCACTATACATGATCGGGCCCAGCTGTCTCCTCTCCTTACCAGGGACCCAGTGTGTCACAGTCACATAGGCACAGACATCCTATGGTAAGAGCCTTCCCACCCATTTTTCCCCATGGTTAGGCTATTTTAAAGCTATTTTTATTAATGTGTTATTAAGTACCATCATTAATTATTTTAATATATTTTGGATTATTTTCTTTGGACCCTCCAAGGCTGCCTGCAGTGGGGCAGGAGAAGTGATGGGCAAGCTGGAGGCACGGAGCATCTTCTTTCTGTTTTATATTTTCGCCTCTCAGAGGTTCCATTGCTTGACATGTTCTGGGAACCAGAACCTGATCTTGGCAGTTTAAAGATGAGGAAACAGAGCCCAAAGAGGTAGACCTCATGTTGCAGGTCACCTACTAAGTTATTAAGTGACTGAACAGACTCTAAAGATGGTGGGGTAACTTATTTCCGAAACATTAAAGTGAGTGAGAATCATAAGGGGTAGTTTAAGTTGTGAATAAGGGAAGTTGTTTGTAGAGACGCAGACTGGATTTTACCTGCTAAGGACTACCCACAGTAGCACTGTTGCCTTAAATGGCTGGCTTTCTGTGCAACTCATCACAAGCAGCTCCATTTTTAGCCTATTCCAGGCTAAATATCTGTAAAATTTCACACATTTATCCAGTTCCTACTACTGGCTAAGGATGATTAAGAGTTGGACCCTTACCTGGAAGTTCGCATGTTAGTGAGGTCGGCAAACACTGAAACATCCAAGGGCCATATAAAAGTTTTCCC